TCTCCTGCTTCCTCCTTCTGCAGGGGGTCAGCGCAACCGAGGTGTGATGATGGCAGCTCCTTCTGGGAGAACCACCTTTTTGATCATGGTGCCTTGTTCTTCCCCTGGGAGCGGTCTTTCTTAAGAGAATGACAAGCACAAAGCAGACCGGGAAAGCCTTCATAAAATACCTCGAGGCCAAGGGAAGGGAGGCCTGATGCATGAACACATGTAGACAGGGAGGTCAAGGAGACCTGATTCACTGACACATGTATACATGGATGTTGAGGAGGCCTGATGCACAAACACATGTAAACACAGATGCCAGAGAAGCCTGATGCATGAACATGTGTAGACAGGGATGCCAGGCACGGTTTGTCAGGTGAGCTTGCACATGAAACCGACTGGCTTTAGCGGCCCCTAATCAAATTGGCTGTGCCTTTTTCGCCTTTCATGATTATTTTATCTCACAGTACATGGACCTATTTGGTTCGTTTACTTCTGTCAGGCCACAGAGAGGAAGAATTACGGTGACAGTGGAGGTGCTCTCACAGTGACAGGGACAAATCTGCTGTGGGATATTCTGTATGGCAAATGTGTTGCTGATTAGTCAATAAATAAAACACTGATTGGCCATTGGCTAGGCAGGAAGTGTAGACGTAACAAGGAGGAGAATAAAGCTGGGAAATGGAAGGCTGAGTCAGAGAGACACTGCCAGCCGCCACGATGACAAACAGCATGTGAAGATGCCGGTAAGCCACAAGCCATGTGGCAAGGTATAAATTTATAGAAATGGATTAATTTAAGCTGTAAGAACAGTTAGCAAGAAGCCTGCCACGGCCATACAGATTGTAACCAATATAAGTCTCTGTGTTTACTTGGTCGGGTCTGAGCGGCTGTGGGACTGGCAGGTGAGAGAGATTTGCCCTGACCGTGGGCCAGGCAGGAAAACTCTAGCTACACAAATCTCTTTCTTACATTCATTGTCTGGATCCCTCTTTCTATATTCTCTTTAGTGAAAGCAAATTATGAGAATTGCAAACCACAGAAATTTCTGTTTAGAATCTGTAAGGCTTTAAAATTTTTTTTTAATTAAATTGCTCTTGAAAAGGCCACATCTTTAACAATGGAATGAGCAGAAGGAAGCAGAAGCCATGGTGGTTGAGCAATTATCTTCTTGACAGTGCGATGAATTCTGGGCAGGGGTGGGAATTGCATCACTGAGAGTGTTGGTAAGGAGTGCTTCATAGTCTTACGGTGGGGAAACGGGTGTGTGCGCAGAGACTAGATACGCTAACAGATTTTAGTGTCTTTAAGCTTGAGATGCCATCAGCCAATGAATCGGTCTCTCCCTTCAGATCTCTGACAGGCCTATATCTGCACCTGAAACCATCCCCAAGAACACAGTGTAGTCGAAAAATGGCTTTTGCTAAGAAAAACAATTAATAGCATGTATTAAAAGTTTTTCCCATTCTTTCATTTGTTGTTGTTGTTGCTGTTAGTGGTCTTTGTTTAGCTTAAGGCTTTTAAACACTTGTTGGGTGTCAAAACGTTCATGCAGCCTTTTTTAAACACAGATTTCCATTCCTAGGAGCAGAGCTCTCTGATCTTTGAGTAACAGCATGTCTAGATCTACAGGCACTGTAGAGGGGAAAAAATGTCAATTTGCTGTAGACACAATTATATGTACAGTATAGGAAAAGGACAATTTTGTTATACAAGGACCACACACACTGTGTGTTTGCTGGATTATTTGATATCAAAGCAGAGACATCGGTTTTCCCTAAAACATAAATGAAATAAAGAGCCTGGCGAAGGATCACCCGCCTCTAATTCAGAGATATCCATTACAGTTTAGAGAGCTGGCTGATGCTAACAGGACTGCTTTACTGGAAAGGGACGTCTTGTTGACTAGATAATATACTACGATGTCTTTAATTTTATACAACTACTGAGCAGAACAAGCATGATTTACAACCCTCATCATAAATATAAGTATGTTGGCAATGTCGGATGCTTTGTTATCACATCCTCACAGAGTGTGGACCACAGCATCTTTGCTGGACTTGCAGCTGTACTGTGTAGCTAGGAGGACTGTGAATCACATGTTTAGTATACTTCTCCTGTCTCTCCTCAGACCAAACATTGCACCAGACATGCAAAGCTAAATGAGAAATGGCCTTTAAGGAAACACGTTTTTGAGGGCGGAACACGTAAGACAACAACACAGGACACATTTTATGCAGCATATATGTGGGAGGGGAGGGAAGGGAAACACTCGAGCATAAGCTGGAGAAAAAGTGCTCAGGGGTGGCGGAATGTGAAGTCACTTCTGAATGAAGAGGGTTTCTTAGGTGGATTAGGTGGTTGGGTACTCCAGAAAGACAACTTGCAAATGTTCTAAGAGTGAGAGATCAGAAGCCCCCACACTGCTGCCTTTTCCTGCAGCACATCTGGGTATGAAAAATGAGCCTGAAAAAGAAGGAGGGTACGCCAGCAAGGGCTCTGCACACTAGGACAGGAATTTGAACTTTATACCGCAGGGCATGTTTTGACATAGTCCCAAATACTTTGCTGATCAAATAGTTTAAAAATATGATACTGGCACAGATAAAATAGTTAGAACAGCATGATGCCTGCATAGAGATGGGCAATGTAATGAAACAGCGGGATATGAAAACCCAGTGTAGGAAGCTGAGCTGGTGACAGGAGTGTGTCAATTGGAGTGTAGTATCTTTAGTCAGTGAATGGAGGATGGGTTGTTCAGTTGATATTTGGACAACTGGCTAACCATCTAAAAATAAAATTTACTGTTTATACACATACTATTAAAAGAACTTATGGGTGAATTAAAAATGCCAATGTGAAATATCAGAAAAATGTTTATTTTTGTTGATTTTTTTGCTTGTTTTGTAGTCTTTTAGTGTGACAGTGTTATATAGCTCAAAGGAAAAATAGATATTACCACAAAATCATGATATGGAGCACCCTAAACTCTAAAGAGACTAACACATTACAGTTGTAAGACAAAAGTCAAATTAGGAAAAATGCCTTTAATATATATAACAAAGAATTTGTGTCTACAATATAATCTGTACTGACCTCCTACAAATCTATAATAATAAAAAAAGGACTAACCTAAGAGAAATGGGTAAAGCGTACAAACGGCTAATTCATGAAATAAACAACCCCTAATGACATAAGTGTGTTCAGTGTCAGTAACATATAATACAGCTTCATTTCTTACTTATTGGATGGTAAACAGGAGGTGCACATTAATGAAAGATTCCCCAAGTAGTAATTCAAAATGTCCCATCTTGGGAGGGTGAGGAGAAATGAAAATTCTTAAATATTAAGGGCACAAAGTCAATACATGCATAGAAACTAATGTCTTAACATCTACAAAATAAAATGTATATAACATTTAGTCTTATGGGTTATAGATATATAAAATATGTAAGCATATAAGTGAGTATGTTGTTTATAATAGTGAAAATCTGGGGAAAAAAAACTCACAAAGATCACTAAGGAGATTCATTTTCTAAACTGTAGCACACAGATAAAGAAATTACTATGCTGGCATGGCAAGATATCCATGATAGAGTTTGTACTGAAATAATGAGCAAGCAGGATGGCATTCATAGCATCACCTGACAAATGAGGTAGTGAACTCAACAGTTAGCTGCTTGGGCTTTAGGCTTAAATAGGTCTCGATTTGAGTACTCGCCCTAACACTTATTGCTAAGCTCTCAAAGTCTTATTTCCTTTCTCTGTCCGACTGGAAGGGAACCTACCACCCAGAGTTGCATGGAGAATTCCGAGTATATCTAGTAATACTATTAAATTTGGGCTGGTGAAAAGACATTTGTTGGCTTTTCTGACAAGCCAAGCTTGATCCCTGGAAGCTGCATGGTAGAGAGAGGACCAACTTCCACAAGTTGTCATGTAACATCTACACATATGCTGTGGTTTGCTTGCGCATGGGTGTGCGTACACACAACAAAATTCCTTTCACCTTAACACACAATGGCTAACATCAAGAAAACAACTGACATCAAACACCGCTGAGGACGTGGTGAAAGGGGGCACCCTGATTTACTGCTGGTGCAGACACTCTGGAAATCAGTGTGGAGAACTCCCAGCTATGGTACTTCTTGTCATAGTCCCAAAGGAGGACTTAACATCCCACTCCACAGATACTTGCTTGACTACATTTGTTACTGTTCTATTCACAATAGGTATGAAATGGAAAACCCTAAACGCAAATGTGGCACATACACAGAATGAAATACCATTCAACTATGAGAGAAGAACACAATAATGAAACTTGCAAATCAGGTTATAGAGAGACAGGAAATCCAATACAGAGCCAGGAAGAAGAAAGGAGAGTAGGGGGAGATGTCAGCCTGTCACCAGGAGAAGCAAGATGTGAAAGTACTGGTAAGGCACAAAACACTTGGCAACTTAAAGATTAATAGAAATGGGTTAAGTTATAAGAGCTAGCTAGCAAGAAGCTTGAGCCATAGGCCATACAGTTTATAAATTATATTAAGCCTCTAAATGATTATTTTATAAGTGACCACAGGGACCAGAGAAACTTTATGAGTACAGAGATGGGCTACAGAGGAAGGCTGAGAGGGTCCTGATTATAGATTTTTAAATCTCCTTGTAAACAAGGAATAAATTTGAGTATTATATTTAAGTCCCAAAGTAAAAATAACTATTATGTTTAGATAATACAGTTAAGAAAACTTCATAGCCTTAATACCATAAGTTATAAATTGCCCTAAGTCAAGATTGGTTATTAATAATCTCTGGAGTAGTTTCCACTATATACATATTCAGTTTTCATTCAAATTAGGAAAAATATAACAAAATAGGAAGGCACACTTAAGAAAGTGTTTTCCCTAGTAACACCAGGGCAGGAAAGCAAACTATTGAAAAATAAGAAAATTGGTCAAGTAGAAATACATTAAAATGACCATATCAATATGCAGTGCACACAGGAAGATGTTACATACCCCTCTGTTCGGAAGATCATCCGGAAGCTGTCACCTAAGCTTTTGTAACTTTGTGGGTCCGTTATACTTCTCTGAACCTGGAACCTAGAAAAAAAATCAAGCAACAATAGAAAAAATGTACATTAAAAATTTGGCCAAATGGTTTTTATGTTTTTTGTTGTTGTTGTTGGTTTTTTTTTGTTGTTGTTGTTGTTCTTGATAGTTTTTTTCCCCTGAGACAGGGTTTCTCTGTGAAGCAGTCCTGGCTGTCCTGGAACTTACTCCTTAGACAAGGCTGGCCTCAAACTCATCTAGATCCACCTGCCTCTGCCTCCCAAGTGCTGGGATTAAAGGCATGCGTCACCACTGCCAGGCAGCTTTCTTGTTTTTAAAAGTCTTAGAAATGTAGCTTTTCCAGAGTAATTTAAAATATTCTCACCATTCCTATGGATTTCATTGATTTGTTGTTCTTATATAACCTTTACCTTGTTTCTTTTATTCCCTTGTTTCTGGCCCTTTGTACTTTATGAGAGCCCATGTTTCTGTTTATCAGCCAGGCAGATACATCCTAAGGCATTTAGATTTTGTGTGTGTGTGTGTGTGTGTGTGTGAAAAGCATGTACAGATGCCATACATTGTTTTAATACATACTTCAGAAATCTGAAAATGTATAGAAAAGAAATACACAGTTAAAGCTTTAATTAATGTTTGTAGCTGGAATTTTCCTGTGTCCTGCCTGGTTCTGCAGCTGCTCAGACCTAAGTAAACACACAGAGGCTTATATTAATTAAAACTGCTTGGCCATTAGCTCAGACTAACTACTGACTAGCTCTTACACTTAAACTCAGCCCATTTCTGTTAATCTATATGTTGCCACATGTCCTGTGGCTTTACCTGTGTGCCATTACATCCTGCTCCCTGGACAGTGGGCTGGTGTCTCCTGACTCAGCCTTCCTCTTCTCAGAATTCTCCTTGTCTGCTTATCCCACCTATACTTCCTGCCTGGCTACTGGCCAATCAGTGTTTTATTTATCAACTAAGCAAAGCAACATATATTCACAGCATACAGAAAGACATCCACAGCAAATGTTCCTCAATAGATATTTAATAAAAAGGTTTAGAAGTACAGAGGAATTAGTATGGGACAAGTGAGATTCCGTGGGTGAATTTGGAACTAATTCTGCTACAATCTACCATCATGACTTCAGCATGGGACAAGGTCTTTGCAGAAGCACAGTGCTCTGCAATGGCTGTTGCTCAGAGAAGATGTGCTCCATTTCTGAAAGCCATCATCTTTTATGTTCTGTTTCCTTGGTATAATCATTTATCTTCCACTGTAGCCCACCAAATGTAGAAGCCTCCAATATGACAGTTTAACTTTTCTTTGTGTTTACCCTGGGGTTTATTTCTAAAGATGTGATAATAAATATTCATATTTTATCACATGCCATTTTTAATCCATTCTCTGGTTTATCTAGCCTGTTTACCCTTCATTTTTAGCTCTTTATCCTAATTTCTGATTTAAGGTCACTCTTCCTCCTCTGCTTCCTGCCATAATTTTACCTATTTCCTTCCTTTTTTTCTTGTAGGTGCTTTTCAGAATTACTTCTGATATTATCTAGTTCAAAATATTTTTCATACCATTAGCATTATGGTATTCATACTTCTTCTTCTAGAGATAATGCTCTTTATAGTTGTAAGCCCTGGGGAATTATGCTCAAAAACCAGACTTATCACAGACAAGAGTGAATGTACTACTCTGCTTGAACCCATTGGGCAGCTGAAGTAAAGCTGAAATTACATTGGATTTTGGAAAATTGAAAGTTGATAATTTTGGGGGTCAGGACAGCATCTGTCTAGGGAAGTGTCAGTTGAACCTTCCAGAAAAGGTCCTGGCACAAACAAATCCCTAAACTAATGTTCATTGGCTGACTGGGTAGTGTAGAGGGAGAGCATAGAGCAGAGTACAATTGTGAAGGCAGAATGAATCTCCATATGAGGACATGATGCCAGAATGCACAGCAGTAGGCATGTGATTAAAGGTGTATGAATTTGGGGTAGTCTTTTTCCTCTTTAATTCATTTTTTGTGGATATTTCAACATGTCCTCCTGCTCATCTTTAACACAGTGAGCAGTATTCCACAACACTGTGCTGACTACTGTTAAACTGTAAAATGTCATATTTGTCTTAATTGTGCAGGGCCTTTAGTCACAGTTGAAGCTGCACTGGGGCAATCTAGAAGCTTGGTTTCTGAACAAGAGCTCCACTCTTAGATGTAAACTGGGCAGAGCTGTGCAAATAGCTCAGTCTGTGAACCCCTGGCTGTGAAATTCTAAGACCCCACCTTCAATCCCCAGGACCCACATGAAAAAGCCAGGCATGGCAGTGCACACACTTGGACTTATGGCACCAGAGAGGTAGACACAGAGAGATTCCTGTGGCTCACTGGCCAACCAGTCTCTCCCACTGGGCGAGCCCAAGCCTAGTGAGAAACCCTCCCTCCAAAAATCAAGATGGATTGTACTTGAGGAGTGACATCCAAGGTTGTTATATGTGCATGCATACACAGGAAACACAGGAACATACAATCACTTGCATGCACACATGCATGCACACACATGCATACACACACAAAAACTAAATATAATGAACTTATCAGAAGAGTATGAATTGGGACAACTGGCTTGCTTGGACTGTTTTAGATGCAGAGTGTACATCTGTGTGTATATACCACTGGCTTGAAGGACTCAGTAAGAGGTCTCTCTAGAATAAGAACAAGACTTGATGGTTTGGGTATTTCTGGACTACAACATGTAGATGAGATAATTCTGTATTTTAAAAATAATTTAACATTACATGGAAAGTAATGCAATGGGAGAATTACATATGGGTTTGTACGACAAATAACCATGTAGCATACAGAGCAATTTCCAAAGTATGATTTTGGTTTAGTCCAAATAACCATCCCCATTTCTGCATTTACACATTTGTGGCCTATGTTCATCACTGTTATGAAACATTTTCTCATGTTTAGTGGAGACATCAAAAATTCTACTATTGTAATTGTTTAATAAAATAATTTAAAACATTTTTATTTATTGTAAAAGCATTACATGTACACAAACGTTTCTCATGATATCTGTAATAATCTTTCATTAAATACCTTTATATCAGATTCTTTTGTAGATGCTTTTCTTCCAAACTGCCAAGTGTTTTCTTAATGTATGCCATATGATATTGGGTGTTACGGGTTTCACAATGATTCAGCACATTATGTCCACTTTTAAGAAGCATGAGGAAATAAAATTGAAAATTTAAGAGTCTTTGCTAACCCCAAACACCTGAAATGTTAAGTAGCAAGGGCATCATGTCGTCCAGGTGTTAGGGGCTGCGGTGGGATTACTGCTCTCTATGAAGGCTCAGGAGGAGATTCACAAAGGGAAAGGGGGTTGGTTTCAGCTGGTCCTCATGGGGCCCAAAAGGCAAACAGAGCCAACTAGTGGGAAGCAGTCCAGGTGGAGGAGGGAACAAAGGCCCTTGAGGGAAAGCTGTGCTTCCTAGCAGAGAAATGAGGGAAGCATTCTTCCACATCAGCAACCTGCCTGGGTTTCCTTCAGGAAGATGCCATGACACTCTGCTAACACATGTTGTTTGCTCAGGATGGATACAGACCTAATCAAGCTTAGGGGAGGGTACCCAGGTGAGAAGAACCAAAGCCCAACAGAGGGCATTTATCTTCTATCTTACATCTGTGTAAGCAGATGGACCAATGCAAGCACATCCAAATTCTAGTCAACGTTTACCTCTCTTTAACTGCTGAGGTTAAGAAACCCACCTTTGTCTAAACTATTGACAAATTCAGGTATTATATGGGCTTGCACAGATGCGCATAACTAACCTGGCTTTTGAAGTACAGGCACTTTACTCCCTAGGTGAAATTCCTTTTCTTTTTCCAGAATAAAAAAGGAAGAGCTGCAATCGATTTTACATTCAATTAATGTGAGTTATTGAGCGCTGTTATACCACATGTGTCCCACTGCTTGGCATGTATGTTCTGCATTTTAGACATGGTTTTGCATTTTAGAAATGTGTGGCTTAGGTGAAGGAGACATGTAAAGAGATGATGTCAATACAAGTCATACCATCTAGAAATGGCATTTTGGAAAGTCAGATACCAGCTAGTGAGTTTTATTAATACTACTATCCTGGTGCAGGAGATGAACTTTCTGTGGGGTGGCTGTTGCTGACAAAAAAAAAAAAATGTACTTTGCAAAAAGAGACAAGAAGGAAAGGGCTAAAAAAGAAATCTGTGATTGAACTTCACTAGTTATCAATCCCATTCTAGAACAGGCACTTAGAGTGGTCAGTGGGCTGACCAGGAGCGATTCACGCAGAAGCTGATTGTCTGATGAATGGTGCTCCGTTCATGGGGGCAGGAGACACAAAGGCTCATGTGCTGTGTGAACAGTACAGAGGAGAGGAAGGCACGGTGAACAGCAAGGCTCAGCATTTTCCGCTATGTGAAGACAGTCAGAGGGCCAGACACACTGAAGACAGAGAGCAGAGTGCACTGTGCCTCTCATAGATGGCATTCCTGTACTTTGCACAGGGATGTGTGCAGTATTTAGCTACACTACACAGGACTTACTCTGACCGGAGAGTTATCAGTTCTTCTAAGGGAGCTGTTTTAAGTTGATATAATTACAGTGCATTTGGGTCAATCATGTAAAACAGCAATTTTCTTCTTCCCTTCCACTTTACCTCACCATTTTTCAAGCTGCATTCTGTGCTCACAAATTCTCTCTATGCTTAGGGAGACAATTTTCCAGGCATGAAATATAACTCTGTAGAGTTGCAAAGACAAAGCCATCCCTCTCTTGATTGTGTTGAGATGAAAAACTTGGACCTACCTCTCTCTTGTCTTTATAAAAGTAGTTTGGTCACATCTGGAATCTCCATCTGAGCAACTTTCACAGAAAGAACAGTTGCTGCCAGAGAGACAAACTGGACAACACAGTAACACTTTGAGAGCTGCTCGGTGCCTGACATCCAGTTGGAATCAAACACAAGGGGAAAAGGCGTGACCCTCAAACCCCTGCAGCTC